AATAATAACGATGAAATAAAGAAAGTTGCATTAAAAGTGGGCGGAATTGCAGGTTCTGCAGCTGTCGGTGGTTTTGTTGCTGGTCCTGTTGGTGCCCTCGTTGGCGGATTGCTTGGAGGCGCACTTAGTTTAAGCGGTTTATTTTAGTTTTAACGATCAGAATGATATACTTTGTTTCAATTATTTTAAAATGTCTTATTTGTTTAAATTGAATGAATGAGAAATGTGTCAGATTGGCATTTTTAATTATTCAACATAATAAATAATCATTTTAAACTGTTGAATTATTACGATTTTTAAGCATACGGTATTTCATTTTCACAAAATGTGTGGAATTCCATCAAATCGATGATGACAACGAAAAATGCCTATTTTGTGATCAATCTGATAATATTGCAAAACACAATGCATCGGCGTTAGAATTTGTGTTAATATGAGTATATATATGAGTTAAACGCATACCGAAAAGTAGAAGTATATTTGCGATAAAAAATAGTTGATTCATCGTTCGAGTTTTATTTAACATATTGATTACATTTCACTTGATTTCGAATGAACTTTTGTCTTGATTATTTTATGTCTCCTTGTTCCATTTTGCGCATTGCCTTTAATATATAGTCTTTAACACTCAACAATGTAAATAAATTCAAATTGTTCTGTATTCAGAGGTACATTACGCTTGCTCCCCTAATTCGTTAGCCGTACGTCTCCTTACAGCCTTTTAAATAGAATTTAAATGAAGATTTGAACTTTGAATGACGTCAAGTAAAAAACAAAAATTTCTGCAAATCTCGATTGTATCCAAATGAGTTCTCAACCCTTCAAGTCGAAAAAAATGTGAGCTTAAAGTATTTCTGCACTCAGATTCATATTCTATTTTTGCTAAAAATGTGTTATTGGTCGCATTTGGTCAATTTATTATTGTTGGCCGTATTTCCTTGTTGATACCAAATTATTCACATTCATACGATTAAGAATCGAGCGATGATTATGTCGATGAGTATTGTGACCCCTTAATTTATTTTTACATGGCTCTTTTGTGATAAAAGAATGAATCATCCTCACCAATTAAAAGCATTTCGAAATAAATGAATCACTGTTTTGGAAACTATCTCTTGAACTTTTGATAGAAGAATTGCAAAACAGTTCAAAATTCTATAACAAAAAAATATCAATCTTTAAAGCTAACTCGAGCGTTCAATTTTTCAATGTAAAAGAACAAATTCAAGGAGATACTTTGCAATTTTTGGATTTATTCACGGAATACGGACGAATAATGAATGGCGATATTGAACAAACATCCGAGGCGAAACAACTGGTGAATTCGATTGAGTTTTGAGAAAATTGACGCATTTCCAATGCCACATCCCGGAATGGAAGTTGCACGAAATGAAAATTTTACGGGTGATTTAGAACAAATCGATCCGACATTTAAAGACCATGTTAAAGTGCTGGCATCGTCACTATTCAATCCAAAAAGTCTCATTATTAAAGGAATTCATGGCCAAAAGGTTCGAGCTCGAGATTTTTTGAGATATTTGCAAACATACATTAATATTTTTAATGGAGGAACATTACCAACACCAACCATTCTTATTGATGTACGTACACATATTCGTATGAAATTATTATTTAGTCGAGAACATAATGCAATAACAATATTATCAAACATTCTTCAAAACAGGCCATCGCTGAAACGAACAATTTAATTCTTTATAACGACTGTCTAAATCTGTACATTGATTCAATGCGTGATCGCTTAAATGAAATCGATCCATACTTCAATCAAACCGAACTGAGTGACATTCATAGGAAGACGAAAAATGAATCGTGCCAGATGGTAGAATACAAATGAATTAATTTCATTTTATTTGACAGAAATGTTCATATTTAATTTTAAAACATAGACATTTACGGTTTCCGCCCTTTCTAATTTTAAATAGTTCCAAAAAGCACGAAAAATGGGCGGGCAGGTACTTATACCGACATTCTTGCATCGTCTTGAAAATGTCATCGAAGAAAAATTCACAAGTTTCCAGCGAGAAAATAATGAAAAACGAAACAGGTTTAAGGTTGGTACTTTCCATAGAACTAATGTATAGTAGTTCATTTCAAGCTTTCAAGACAAATATTGAAAATGTTATGAAAAAAAAATCATTTCAGGAAAAATCCAATTTATATAATAAGAAAATCGCTGCTGAAATTCGTATATAAAATTTTAACAAAAAATACTCGAAAAAACTGCAGGCGAAGATTCAATGATGAATGCACATGAGCTGGACGTACTATTTTCATCAGCAAAACAATCCGCACTAGCTGAGGTGAGTCAACATTTTTAATGTAAAAATCAAAATAGAACATAAACGTTTCCAAGTTTCGAAGATCGACGAATCTCTTTTAGTTTGACGCAAAAAAACTGGGCGATAACGAAATTTCAGCAAATTCTCGCCGAAAATTTCAACGTGAATTAGATACTTTTCAGGAGTCAATAACGAAAAATTATCGGTGTCATTAAAACAAACCGGACTTCTAACGATCAGTTTTGAAGAAGCAACTGCTGAAACGCATGCAAATGGTGATGCATGCGATGTTGCTTCTCCTTGCGATCCGTACATAAAATTGTTAATTGATAATAAAATGGTTTTACGAACTAGAACCATTTGAGATCAAAAATACCCATACTTTGGCGATACATACACAACGCCGGAAAAAATAAACAAAAATGCACCAATTACCATTCAAATGTGGGACTATGACTCGATATCAAGCGACGATTCTATTTTAATGTGGGATACCACTATCAAGGAGCTGCTTAAAACCAACATTAAATACGGATATGGAGAAAATCAAATAAAAACTCGTTCGCATTGGATCGCTGCATAAATGACATTGTTTGCGAAATAAAAGCAACTTCTGCATTTTCGCATTCAAATGAATTTTTTTCTATTTCAAATAATTTCTAATAATAAAAAATGGATATATACAATATGGATGTACAATTTTTGTATAAGAAACAGATATATTTTATTAACTTTTGTTATTATTTTTGATTATTACAGAAAATTTAATACGTAAATATAGTTTTGAATGCTTTCAGTATAAAAGTTTTCTTAAAATTCTGTTCATCACAAGTTTAATTCAGTAATTTCGTAGTCCTGCATTTAGTGCTGTAAGTAATGGATATTTTCCTTGTAAACATGTGCTTTTGAAGTCATCCAAATCAAGTGCCCATAACATGGCACCTCCAAGTCTCTTTTTACGTATGTATTTGGCTTTTATGCGAATCATGTTAATATCATCATAGCCAACCCATTGATCACCATGATATGCGTATGGTCCGATTCGATTTTGTGAATCGTACACTACAGTCCATCCTTGTTTTAAATTATTGCAAATTTCATAGTATGATAGGAATCCAGAGGATTTTGTGAATGTTCCAGCTTGACCGCCACCATTTGTGGGAGCATTTATGCTGTGATTTTTTGCATTTTCCAATGTAAATGATCGACCGTAAGCAGGTACTCCCAAAACCAGCTTGTCCGATTGTGCTCCTTTTTTAATCCAATAATTTACAGTGTAATCGACATTAAAATAATCATATTTGTCGCCCAGGGTTCGCAAATCCGACCGAGGTCCGACCGCCGACCGACCGCCG